ATATATTTGAAAAGCATAAACTGAGTCGAAGTTGATCAGCACCGTTTCAAATAGTTTCGACATGAAGAAGTATGTGTTTCTATGAAATAAAAAGAACAGCTTGTTCGACAGAAGGTCTATCGATTCGATGAATGTTTGCTAAATGAATGCATGACCACAACATTGGCACTTTCCTTTTAGGAATTATGTACACTGGCCTATCAGTTTGAAATAGTTTAATCCATAATTTAACAGTTTGCATTTGGCAATGCAACTAAAAATGTACACACAGCCATGCAAAATAGCTCTAATCTACGGATCGACCTCATGACCATGGACGGATCTTCGTCATTATCAATTCATTAGAATTTCCATACTTCGATCACATGACTAAATCACCAATTATCGTACAGATAACAAGATATGCTGAACAATCCAACGATGAGACACGTGGAATGAAGCGTTGTTCGAGTGCGGCTTAAATTTTAATCCTTTAATGATTTTAGCAATATGTGTAATATATAGACACATACACATGTAATGTGCTCATAACGGCCGTCGTTATTGTCGTGTTTGTTGCGCTTTAATTTTCCAGCCAACGAGTCACAGATACAGTCGGATTAGATATTCTCTCGTGCACTTGCCGACGATAATGTGTAACGAGAAACAGACACACACACAAATATGCATGTACAAACACATAGAGAGATATATTGGGACCAGTATTAATAGCAAAACGCGTTTTGAATTATTCACGTACTTGTAATTAAATACTTGGCATGGAAAATGATAGTTGGATGCAAATGCACAATACACTATACGCACATGACAACGTGTATTACAAATTCATTAAGTTGGTGCCCGCTATTCGAATCATATCATTTACACAACATATTGCGGATACACGGTTCAATTCGGCACATTCATAGCTGCTGCTATCGCCATCACCGTCGCATCCAAACGGCAAGAGATAGTGAGCGTGGAAGAGAAAGACAAAAAAAAGAAGCTCGTATGCACTCGTATGAGTTTAGCACTTAAATCATTACACCCTTTGAGTGGAAAATTTCATTTTACATATGCAAATAAATCGATTACAATCTGCCGATAACGAAAGAGTATCACAATCCGGATAGGAACATCAAAATAGAACTTGATTTGAACATTCGTACAAACAAATTCATTTTGGTGTATAGTTTTGTTGTACTTTTCAGGGTAACTTGAACACACATACCGAATCGTTTAATGTGGTGGCGATTGCAGTTCTACTGAAACATATTGCACTTCGATTTTGTGTAAATTAAATCGATGCCATGCTATCAATTCGAGTATTTTTGTGACGATGAAACAAATCAAATCAAGTCTACTACGATGGTGACCAGCTCTGAATTTTTTTTTTTTTAGCAAGAATAAAGGCCACAAACGAAAGCAAAAATAAATTTATTGAACAAATTTCTTTTCCAATCGATTGCAAAATTTTCGATCGTAATCTTCGGTTTGAATGGTGCCTCCGAATGAATGCAACTAATTGATAGTTCGAGTAAAATCATTCGAATAAATTCAATTGAGAACCTAAATCGAATCGCACCATTCAATCGAAACTAAATTATTTGAAACACAATGACAAAAAAAAAAGAGTTTTATTGAGATTTGTCGGTGTATATTGGATAAACTAAACAATTGAGTCTGTTCGGACAACATTTCGCACAAGAGAAACAGCAATTGGGTCCAGTTTCAAATCGATTCGATTCTTTAGTTAAAGGATTTAAATATCACACCGAAAATGCGATACTTTTTCGGATTTATTGAAGTAAAGCTAATCAATAAATCGTAATGTGAATCAAGACTCTGCGTATGTGTGTATTTGATTTGTTAGATAGAGTAGGATGCGTTTGTATCTCTCTCTCTCTCGCTCTCTCGAAAATGGAATTGCGTCAACGGTGCTTCTTTCATTCACTCAAACATACACAAATACATGGCATGGTTTGTTGCGTTTATTTTGCTTCATTGAATCGATAGAGACCAACAGCGATACGATAAGCCATAGATGTTGTCTAGCCTCGATATTTTCAGTCAGCAAAATACCATTACGTGTCTCTCTACCTCTCTCTGCCTATTAACATAGAGTTTTGTGTGAATTGGAAATAGAGAGAGAGAGAGAGAGAAGAAGAGATTTCTGGCTTCTGTTTCGTATAAAATCGAAGCGGACGACGCGTCACCTTCTATGCTCTATGTACAGAAAGGATTTACAGCTGTATTTACAAGCAATTTACATTCATTCTATGAAACATTGTACAGTTTTAATTGGAAATAAATAAATAAATAGCACGTAATAGAAAGCTTTTCTTCGGCTACCTGTTTCGTTCTCTTTCACTCCTTCTCTCTCTCTCTCTCTCTCTCTCTCTCTCTCTCACAACACACATGAATATATAAGTGCTGATTGAGATGCAAACACTTCAGCGTGACACTGTCACTGCAAATTGTCGCTAAGCGTAATCATCGAACGAGCAATGCCATCGCATAAGAGTGTTCAATATAACATTTACGCTCGCGCCTCGAAACATCGAAGCGCGCGCTCACTCTCTCTCTCTCTGTCTCTCTTTCTCCCTCTGACTCATTACACCGAAAAAGGACATTCGACAATTGTATTCATTTCACGTGTAGAATTCGCACTCGTGTTCGTTGAACTCATGACACATTACCTATCGCTTGCTAAATAAAATGTGAAACGGTAACATGATAATCTAACGATGCGAGCACAGAGATTACATTCTTGCATGGAAATCGATACGTTTGAATGTGAGCAACAGAGCAACAAGGGAATAAATGAAAACATTTGAAAAAAGGGTTGATTTTACCGAGTCACACGAACAAACGATTAATATTTTTAGCTTCTGCTTTCATCACAACATATGACATTTCCTTCTCTTCATTTCAATTTAACGGTTTTATTTTTCATTGTGATGATGAAATTGGAGAGATTTTTTGTTGTTGCATTGTTATACAACCATTTCGTACGTAAATTTTGTATAGATTTTTTGTTTTTCTTTACATGGTTCTTTCAAACTCTTAGCCGTACTCATTTACCGGCTCCATTCGAAGTTTTCTCGTTTAAAAAACCGATTTTTTGCATTGGTTCTAGATCATAGAAATATTTTTTTTTAAATAAAAATCGTATGATTTAGAACGAATGAAAAGTTGCTCAAGCATCGACAATCATAATAGCTCGAATTTGAAACTGCTTCCAATTGGAGGTTCAAGATTTATCGAGATGGACAAAGAAAAAAGAACGAAAGAAAAATAATCACAGAAGAATCTCTTGATATACTCTACAGTTTCTTCGAAAGCGAATCGAAAGAAAAATGAAATTTTCTAAGCACTGCTGGGCGAGAAATGGAGAGAAAAAAGGCGGCAACCAAAAATTAAGGGTAACTCCTTTGAAGCGCATTCTCCTTCACTTGTAGCTACAACAAAAGCACACCGCTTCCCATGTATTAAAGTACACGCACGCGAAACGGATTCCAAATGCGAGCGACGAGATTTGTCTCTCTCACTTTCTCTCTCTCTGTGTGCGTGTGCGTGTGTGTTTGTGATTGTGTGCGAAAGCATGATTTCCATGTCTTATTGCTGTGTGTGAGTGCACGCTCGGTTGGCCATTTTCCAATATTGGAATGCTTGAAACGTTTCGACGCTACCAAGCAATGAGTTGATTTTTGGATATTTCTTCTTCCTTTCGTGTGTTATATGGAAAAGAGACTGTATATTTATGAAAAGATATATTTGAAAAACGACTCTAGTTAATGAATTTCGGCCAAACAATTGAACTGGTTTCGAAAAATTATTCTGAAAAAAAAAAAAAAAAAAAAATAACTCAACTGATGTACAATGTTCTTTATCATGCGAGACTGGAATTGTGCGCAACCAAGTCCGATATGATATCCATGCGATTCGCGCATATATGGAATACACATTCACATCCATCGTCAGCATCCAAATTGTTCAATATTCGCGTTAAATATTGCAAGAGCATTCAAGCAGCTCTGCACTATTGTTGATATATTTTCATCGTTTTATGTATTTGTATGCGAACAAATCTTACAGTTTATACCATCCAGAGCGAGAGAGAATGAGAGACTGTTCAAATACTATGTAAATCCTACATAAAACTGATGATACAAACACCATCGAGATTTTCCTATATAAACTGAAATCAGAACAGTATGGAAAAAGAGCGAGAGAGAGAGAGAGAGAGAGAGGATTATGTAGTTTGGTTTGGCTTTTTCCCCCAAAGAAGTTTATCCCAATCCATTTCAGATCAGAGTTTTTCAATGTGGATATCCAAGTGCACTTTATGTACAATGGGGTAGTAGTAGCCTTTGGGCTATTGCTGGAAAATGTATTTTTGTTGTGTGTTGTGAGTGTGTTTTGGATGGATGGTTGGTTGGTTGGTCTGTCGGTCGATCGGTTGGTCGCTTTTGATGCCATTCTCTTTCTCACTTGTTCACCGCCATCTTTACTGGATTTCCGCATTGTGTTTCCTAATGTTGGACCATTGTTAAAATGGAAGGTGGCTGACACATAGAGTAGATAAGCACAACGCACATTCACTAGCTCGCGCACGAGAAGTGAGACGGTCGAAGCGAGAGGAAAGATTACGAAAAATCATCAATTTCTAATTTTAATTTGAGCTTGATGCATCGAAGTAAAGCCAAAGTGCTCACACATCGATAAGCGTAAGGGATCTCATTGCTTTCAATTTCGTTTGGTATTTGTTTTACTCTTTCTCTCACTTGGAAACTTGAAAAATGAACTCATTTATTTTTTTTCCGGTTTTCGTCCATTTTCAATGCTTTTCTCAAATACGATTGAGTCAGCATAGGAAAAAAATTCATGTTTTATTGCAGAAAGTCATCTCTATGGTTTTGCTATTCCATTTTACTTCTATTTTTTATCCGTTTTGTGTTGATCGGCTTTTGGGTTGAAACGAATTTAATGGTCAATTCTATTCTTTTTTTTTTCCACAGGCCAATAAAATGGGCTTGCCCAGTTTCTTTTGTCATAACGGAGTTGGCGATCCACTGGCAACTCCACCGCCAGCGCATTGCGGAATACCACCGTATCAACTAGATCCAAAAACAATGGGTAAGTTTGAAATGCACATTACTTTTTTTTTCGTTCAGTTTTGTTATGTTCGCTTTTGGCGAGACTCGGTTGTCATTTTGCCGCACCTGACTAAAAACTAACGCCGATTTACAATATTTACAACGAATCACATCAGCAGTAATTTTCCAAGATCGGCACACCTTCTAACCGAAATAAAATCGAAACGTGTCGAAAGCTATACTTTTCAAGTCGATCGAAATATTATAAAATACGCGATGCAAAGCACTTGTCTGAAGCTATAATTGACATTTGTCATTCAACGCATGCAAATCGCACTCTAAACAAAAATGGAAGCGGCGAAAAACCAAAACTTATTTTATAATTTCTTCATTGAGAATGGTTTTGTCGTCATTTGATGCAACTGCCGGAATGCGGTTTCATAATGATGCATTTCAGTGTTTCTCTTGCTCAATTTCGTCTGCTCTTCCCTATAACTCCTGATGTGACGATGTGTAAGAAGTTCTCTTACAATTATGTAATTACTAAATGGTTTACATGCATAGAATACTGCTCCAAATAGCACTTTATCCGTCAATTTAGCTCAAGCCATTTCGCTGAATCCGTTTGTCTACTCTCGAAACAGGCGACGTGCTCTTACACACAATATATACCGCTATGACAATTTTCGAATCGGCTCTCTCATATTTTTGTTGTTGTTTTCCCTATAAACAGAATTTCTTCCACATTTTCGTATAGTGAAAAACATAAATGATTCCGTCCAATCATAAATGTGCACGCAATTTTGTAGTTTCATTGAGCTACAACCGATTTTCTTTTCTTCTTCATCTCGTCGGTGTTTTGTTTTTGCTTTTTTGCGTGTGTATTTATTGCGAGATGTTGTGAAGAGACTACTTTATCGCACATTGTTGGCGTTCGTCGTCAAGCGTTCGTGCTGTTTTTTTTTCTCAACCGCCGAGCACGCTCTCTTGAGTGTCATGAATTTGTTCCTTTTTTTTTTAGTTTGGTTTTATTTTGTTGTGCACAGTACACAATTGCGCGCGCGAACACATAGCAGACGCAAAATGCATTCCAACCAAATCGGAGCACTTTAAAATATACGCACAATATGAACACTCTCTTTCTACAATTCATTTGCACATAAAAACGCTATTTTCTATTGAAATACATGGTATGTTTTGCTGTAAGTGTACAATTAAATGTGCTGCATAGACTAAATTACTTCAAGATTCAAGACGAGAAAACGACGAGAGAGAGAGAGAAAGAGAGAGAGAGAGAGAGAGAGAGAGAGAGAGACGGAGAGAGAGATAGAGAACAAAATAGGCGAATCGCAGTGTATTCGCATTCGTTCATTGAAATGAGAAAAAAAAACCATTCGAATAGAGCTATTATAATCAAAAACGCTGCAATATATTTTTATGCTATGTAGATCAAAAGTTTCATTTTGCATGTAATTTGCACAATATTTGTAGCTTAATGATGCATTTACATTTTTTCGCTGACGTTGTATTCTATCTCTCTCTCTCTCACACTTGATTTTTATTATTTTCCTTCATTCGTTCGACAACATTGTTACATTAGCAATATATTTTTCGATGTAGATTGAAAATGGAAAAAGTAGACAACAAAAAAAAGTATGACCGAATCGATCGTTACATTATGAGCAATTATCTTCTTCAATCATCCATTATGGCGCGTTTTGTAGGCTGCATCTTCAAATACAGATAACAAAAACACATTTAGAGGATGAGAAAAGAGAGAAAAAAAAAATGCTATAAAAATTGAATTTTCATATGACACAAAATCATAGCCACACACAAAAGGAACTTGTCTATTCAAAATGCCAGCCGATGAATTAATGATTTTTTTGTTTTTTTTTTTCGTTTCGCGCGATTGAAATTTTTGGAAGAAAAATCTATGAAATGAATAAGAACATATTTGAGAAAAAGACACAATTTTTTTTTCACAAGACCGAACCAAGAGAATAAAGCGAATGAAAATTATTTTTGGGTGGAAAGTGAGCAAGATAGAGAAAATCGCCGCATTTTTGGGCTGTGAACGCTGAGGTGGAAAAAGGTTCGAAACTGAAAAATGGCACAAAAAGTACTTGAGCTCTTCAAGAAACTCTGATTGTAGCTCATTAAAAACTAAACTCTCCATATTTCCCTCTCCCTCTCTCTCTCTCTCTCTCTCTCTCTCTCCATCCACCGCTCCTTCTCTAGCTTTTTTCCCTTTTGGTCGTATGTGGTGGTTCTTTCCTTCTTATCCATCCTCGACTGCATTCACCAATGAAATGGGATTTATGTGCTCAGTGTACCGATGTTTCAGTTTATGCCCTTTTTTTTTCTTATTTTCCGCTTGAGTTTAATACTTGGCAGCCAATAGAAATACGAAAATCACAAATACATTCGAAATTATTCCCGATTATCGTTCACGACAGTACTTGTTGTTGCTGTTGTTGCGGCTGCTGCTGCCCTTCAGCCAGAAAACTTGAAACTCACTCATTTAAGTGGTGTAGAAGTGTGGTGCGGTTTGGTGTTTATATATATATATATGCCTTTTTTTTTCCTTCTTTTTCTGTTGTTGCTCTCTGCTTTTTCGGTCCACAAATGTTTTATTCTCAATGTCGATTGTCTCCAATTTACCGCTTTTTGGTGCCTGGCCAAAAGATGTACTTGCGGTTGTGTGTTATTATTATTATTAGTTGAGGTTTTGTGTGTGTTTTTCGTTCGAATATCAACATTTTCAATTTTTTTTTTTTTTTTTCATTTCATGTCCCTTTTTTTACATGAAATCAATAGGTGATTTTGACTGAGTAAAATGTTTACTCTTACTCCTTGAGTAATTATTTCGCACACACTAACACATGTACACACTTATCGAGAGAGGTATTTTGGTTGGTATTATTACTTCCATATGCTGCGTTCACAAATGTCGTTAAACGAGCGAAAAGTGCTCGACGAGACGAAAATTATTATCGTCAAGTGGCCGATGCATTTAAACCAGCACGGCAAAAACATATTAATTCGTCGTCAATGTCAATTGTGAGCGAAAGCGAGAAAGAGAAAGAGAGAGAGAGAGAGAACGAAACACACTTGAACAATTCCGATTGAATTCGCAGTGGGATTATTACATTTTCTATTGGCACTTATGCTGTCGAATGTTTGTATTTTTTGGTAGATCTCAGGAGAAAAAAAAACGCGTCTTTTCAAAATGAGATTCTTTTCGTTAAAATAATTGAATGCGATGGAATTAAAGCGATGAAATTTTTTGTCGGCAGCGGTACAAATTGGACATGTCAATTAGGCAGCAATTGATTGAAATGTCGAGGAAAACATAATCGATGTAAAATGTTGTAGCTTATGAAAAAGAAAAACTCTTCATCTGTCGATGACACTCTTTTTTTCAAACCAACCGCGGTCGATGTATTTGTTGCCACTTATGGCTGTTTTCTTTGCAAATTTTTCTTCAATAAAACGCTTGTTTCTTCAATTTTATTAGCCAATAATCTTTTTCTATGCCATCATATCAAGCGTTCTTCAAATAAATGATTCAATTGTTCTCAAATTTGGTTCTCGAATCAGCCCAATTCGGATTTCCATTTCTTCTTCAGATTTCGTTTATTTCATCAAACGAAGCCTCATTATTCTCACTCTCTTTCCTTCTTTCCGATCTTTTTCGCCCTACTGTGCTTTCTCGTGTTCTCCTCTCGCTCTCGCTTCGTTTCTTCCAGTTTTCTTTTATTTCGTTCGGTTGAAAGATTGTGTCGCATAAAAACGCTGCTCCACATCATTGCAAATAGCAAGAACACATGGAGCACACACACATTTTCGAAGCGCATACACCATTTTCTATCGAATTCAAATCGGTCCGTTTGCTTCAATAAACATTTACGTTTCGAATTGGTTTTACCTCCTCCTTGTCCCCCCGCTCTCTCTATCTCTCTCTCTCTCTCTTGCGCTCATTGCTTCTATGCTCCTTTTGCTTCTGATGTTTGATTTTGAACAGAAATTTGTATATAAATCGAAAATACATAGCATAAATAAATTATCATAAATGAATTAGGTGCAGCGTTTATCAGCGAATCAAATCGTTGAAGTCGATCCCAGGAACGAAAGAAAAAGGATGTTGAAATAGCAATGATGCAATCGATGAACAACATGTTGGATGAAGCCTAGTATACAGTTCGCTGTGTGAAAAAAAAAACTCGGTGCAAAAAATTTCGGTTTGGCAAAATTTTCGAGATGAATGCCATTTCTTTTTTTCGCACGCGAACTTTAAACTGGGCTTGAACGGCAAAAATGTACTTCTTCTTAAGAAAAAAAAAAACAATTGATTTGCAAGTAATTTTGAATTGACGTTTCGGTTTTTTTTTTCTTCTCCGAAAGCAAAACGAAGCACAGGCATGTTTACATTCATTTAAATTTATATGACAAGACAAACAACAAATAAACCAATTTATGTATTGTCGAAGACAAAAATCGATATGAAACACCGTTGGTTGAACGGTATATGAATAATTTTAGTTCGTAGATGGACGAATTGAAAGACGCTTAGCGGCAATTCTTCTCATACGGGATTTTCTCCTCAAATCCGACTTAAAAATGCCGATGGCTTTACCTTTTTTTCTGCTCCGTTCTTCCGTCGAAAATATTATAAAGGCTCCCCAATCCGATAAAGCTTCAATAAAAGGAGAGCCGGAGGGCGCAGAAAATGGTCTCATGTCGTTTTGCAAAACACATTCCAATGTGGAAATGCATTGAATTTTCTTTTCTTTTTTTTTGCTTTGTATTCCTTTCAGTATGTAAACCAATGTGAATTTTCATAATCGGCACGAACGCGCGCGCGCACACACACATACATGCATCAAATCATAACGTTTTGTTAGTTATTTATAAAATGGAATGTGCCAACCGAAGCGATTCTTATGGTTCAATAAGCTTTAATATCGATCAGCAATGTACGAGATTAATACATAAACGAAACTTATTCATCTATTGATACATATAAAAGATGTTTAT